TATTGAAAAATGACTTACCTTGATTCAGACACCGTAACATAGTAGAAAGATTTTTTATTAATGTTATTAAAGGACATTATAGAGTTATTAAGCAAGTATCATCAAAAATCCAATTTGTCATGTTAACCTCATTTGGAACTCAGTGTGTTTCTCAAACTGTAGAGACATGCAAGAGAAAAAGCAAGGGAAGAAGGATTAGAAACATAGCAATAAAAAAAATTGAAGAAAATGGAATTAAATACAAAAATTGAAATGAGAGTCAGATCTTATGATTTTTGGACGATATCACCAAGTATTATCTTAAGATGTATATTGGAGGGTCAACTTTCTTGGGTTTTATAGCCTCAAACAGTTCACTTATTGAAATATGCATTGCATTTCCTCAAGAGTTAGAATAGTGAAGTATTAATACATGATTCTGAAAGTCAGAGCAAGAGGACTTAAGTTTTGACTAAGCCACCTATTGCTGTAAGATTACAAAGATATTTAACCTTTATGTGTCATTGTTTTTTCATGAATAGCACTGGAGCACTGTCATCCTGTTGTTCATCGATTTATTCAAGCAGGCACCAGTAATGTCTCCATTGTGAGACTTGTTGTTACTGTTTTTGGCATATCGGATATGCCACAGATAGCTTGCCCCAGTCAGCCGTGTAGGCAGGATACTTTCGGTAGCTTGCCAGGCTCTTGGAGAGGGCTGAGAAGTCGAACCCCAGTCACCTGCATGCAAGGCAAACACCCTACCCACTGTGCTATAGCTCCAATTCTATGGGTTTGTTATGCTTAATTATATTATTATTCTTTCAGAAAATTAAAGTTTACTCTTTTAGAAAAAGCATTAATGTAGCTAATCTAGTATCATATATATATATGTGTGTGTGTGTGTGTGTGTGTGTGTGTGTGTGTGTGTAACTGTCTTATACCTTTGTGGGAAAGGGATTTGAATCACTCCTATCTGCACTAAGGACTTAGTCCAGACTCTGCAGTGAGGGACCACTCCTGTAAAGCTGAGGGGACTGTACTTGTGTAAAACAAGTGCCTTGTCTGCTGTATTATCGTTCTGTACCTTGTACGTATCACTTCACTTAATCACTTAACTTCCCGTTAGTCGTCGATTTGCTCGAGCGGGTGCCAGTAACGTCTCCATTTGTCCCTGTCGCGTGCTAGTGTAGCCCAATGACATCTGTTCGCTCCGGGAACATGAAGGGCCTCAAACCGATCGTTCATGATCTTGACGAAGAAGTCTGACCATCTGGTAGGTGGGCGGCCACGCAGTCTTTTGACATCCCGTGGAATCCAGTCGATAACAGCTCTAGTCCAGCGGTCGTCTTTAAATCTCATTACGTGACCAGCCCATCTGATTTTCGACACCTTGGCAAATGAGATAGCATCCCTGATTCTTGATCGTTGACGGATGTCAGAACTCCGGATTCTTTCTCTCATTTGAGTGAATCGTGATAGTCCAAGCATAGCTCTTTCTATTGTTCTTTGGGAGACCTGAATGGCGCTCTCATCTTGTTTGCATAGGGCCCAGGTCTCTGAGGCATATGTTAATGCAGGAAGAACAGTGGAATCAAAGAGATGTGCCCAGAGCCAGAGGTTCTTCGTCCTCTTAGCTATTTCTTTGACGTTCTTGAAAGCGTTCCAAGCCGCTCTCTTCCTCCTGCACAGCTCGGGTGCCAGGTCATTTGTCATGTTGACCTCTCAACCTAGGTACACATAGCTGTTGCATTTGGAGATGGTCATTGCGTTGAGAGCGAATGGGGAGTCAGGAACGAGGCTGTTTCTCATAAACATTGTCTTCGTAAGATTCAGCTGTAGTCCTACCTTTCCACACTCACGGTCAAAGTCAGCCAGCATTTGTGCCGCTTGGCTGATGTTTGGTGTTATTAAAACAATGTCATCAGCAAAGCGGAGGTGGTGTAGTTGCCGACCATCTATCTTCACTCCCATTCCTTCCCATTCCAGTCGTCGCATGATGTTCTCGAGGGTGGCACTGAAGAGTTTCGGTGAAATGGTATTACCCTGCCGCACCCCTCTCTTGACGTCAATGATCACTTCTTTGTAGAATGGTGAGATCCTGGTAGTGAATCCGCAATACAGCTCACGGAGGATCCTGATGTATTGGGCTTGAATGCCCTGATTGGCAAGGGCTTCAATGACTGCTTCCCTCTCAACAGAATCAAAGGCCTTCTTTAAATCAATGAACGTTAAACAGAGTGGCATCTTGAACTCCTGAGAAACCTCAATGAGCTTGGTTATAGTGTGGATATGGTCGATGGTGCTGAATCCTTTGCGGAACCCGGCTTGCTCGCATGGTTGTCCTTCATCTAGTGTTCTGCCAATCCTATTTAGGATGACTCGAGTGAACAACTTGTAGATGACAGACAATAGCAGATCAGGCGATAGTTGCCAATGTCATGGATGTCTCCCTGTTTACATTTGAACAGATGTAGCTCACTGCCTGCAGTTTCTATCTTCGTTGTCTACGCACCAACATCTCATTATGATGAAAGAGAAATCGAGAAGTTCTACATGGAGCTAGAGAAGTTCTATAAAGAAGACCACACCTTCTACAAGATCATTGTGGGTGATTTTAATGCCAAGATAGGACCGAGAAGATCAGCTGAAGAACTTCACATCGGGACCCATGGCCTAGAATGGAACGAACAGGGTGAGAGACTATCTGAGTTCATCATGTCGACCAAGACCATTCATGGTAACTCACAGTTCCAGAAGCAGAATTTAAACGATGGACATGGGAGTCTCCTGGTGGACGATTTCACAACGAAATAGACCACATCATATTCAATCGATGGTTTTGCCTGACCGATGTCGCTGTTGTCCCAAAATTTCGAACAGGATTGGACCACCGTCTCCTTCATGCAAAATTCTACTTCACAGAGCGGGGAGAAAGGGCTGCAAAGTTCAAAAAGAGAACTCCCAGAATGACCACCAACTGGGAACTCTTTGGTACTATTGCGGCAACATGGGAAGATGCCATTGTTGACAACATTGAGGAGGAATACGATCGACTGGTTCAGCACCTCCATGAATGTGCGAGGAACGCCAAGAGAGCGATAGCCACAAAAAATCGCCTATCTTCGAAAACTCTTGAGCTAATTCGCCAGCGTGGTTTGGCGCATGCCCCAGGCAACTGCAAGCTAACGTCTGAGCTCGCAAGGCAGTGCAGAGATGTGATCAAGGAAGACCTCAAAGAGAGAAGAGCAGAAGTACTGGTAGATGCGGCAGAAGCCGGGAATAGTATTTGTAAGGCCCACCTGTCCTTCGCCAACTACAAGACCAAGATGACTGCCCTCCAACGTCCTGATGGATCCATCACATCCTCCAGAACGGCAATGGAGAAGATTATCCATGACTTCTACTCAAATCTCTTCGATAGCCATGTCCACTTGCCAACATACCAAATTCCACAGGATGGGTATGTCGTTCCCAACGTTCTCCCTTCCGAAATCCGACACGCCATTTTGTCGGTAAAGAAACAAACAGCACCCGGCCCAGACAAGGTCAGACCTGAACACCTGAAGAACCTACCGTCAGTACTCATCAATACACTGGCTCGGCTCTTCACTCGCTACCTGTATGAATGCAAGCTTCTGTCCCAATGGAAAACCAGCAGGACCGTACTACTGTTCAAGAAGGGAGACATCCATGACATTGGCAACTATCGCCTGATCTTGTACGTATAAATTTTGACAATTTAGTGTCAACATATTCTCTATACTAGACTTCATCAGTCTTAATTGTTCATTATCTCTCCTCTAAGAGTACATATCGTTCTTTCTGAAAATATCATTGGTTACTCTGGAATTGGAGAATAGATTTTTATATAATCTAAGTCTACTTTCAAATGAAACCATACCATTTCATATATGATTTTATCTTTTGTTTGTTTTGGACTTCCACCGAAATCCTCTGGGAGCCTAAGGGTTGTTCTCAGTGATAGTCAGCCCTAATGATTTAGTGCAACATCTTGAGGCGGTAGTGATGGTTAGGACATAGATTTGAGGGACCATCAGTATCACCCTCTCAGTGCTAAGGGGTCTCTGGAACTATCTAGGTGATGCTCAGAAGGCCAAGAGTTTCCAGTGGTTGAACACTAGTTTGGGCTCATGACTTGCACATGCCCTATATCTTCAACCCAATATAATTTGGATATATAGTGTAGTTTCCTCAGTGTGTTCCTGTGTTCTCACTGATGTTACAATCTGCCATTTAATTTATCCACACACAAAAAAAAACACCAAATACATTGCCATATATTAATTTCAATAAATTTGACTTTAAGAATAATTGATAATAAAATATATTAATTTATAAATTGCTTGTTGCTTTTCCTTTATGAATAGCTTTGAATTTTTGACTCAGGATTTTCCATTAGAGCCCTACCTTTATTAATCATAGTGATTTTAAATTCAATTTGACAATTTCAGAATATATATCATATATTAGTGTAACTACAAATGGCTTGCTCTTTCAGAATCCTGTGGGGCTTTTTTGGGGAGTATTGTTTGCTTGTTTGTTTGTTTTTTGTTTGTTTGGGGTGTGTGTGTGTGTGTGTGTGCGTGTGTGCGTGAGTGCTCTTTTTGATGTGCCTTTTAACTTTCATTGAATTGGAACATGATGCACCAAACAATAAAAATTGAATTATATTTGTCTTTAGTATGAAGATTTGTTACTTTGGCTTGAAATAGCACAGTGTTAAATATTTGGTATAATTTCAAATGTCAAAAGATTTAAATTATCTGTCTGTATTTCTTTTTACTATTACATTATTGTCATTAGGTTTCTTTAGTAACAATTTCTAGAAGCAAATCTAGATCTAGCACTTTAATGCAAAGTTGACTGCCACCCAGAGATTATATTTGTGTGCTGGTAAATTATAAGGAGATAATATATTTGTACAATATTTTTATTCAATTGATGTTTTTGTCGTTTACTGTCACAAGTAAAAAACCACACTTAAAAATAAGTCTACAGTGCTTGCTTCGGCAGCACATATACTAAATTGGAACAATACAGAGAAGATTAACATGGCCCCTGTGCAAAAATGGCATGCAAATTCATGAAGCATTCCATCTTTTTATAGAAGTGAATCATACACAGACACGGAGAACCAAATCAAACTCCTGGAAATTAGACAACTCAGTGTTGAACAACGAGTGGGTCAGGAAAGAAGTCAGGGACTAAATCAAAAGATACCTGGAAACAATGAGACTGAAGACAAGAGCTACCAGAACCTATGGAACACAGCTGAAGCTATGTTAACGGGAATATTTATAGCTCTGCAAGCATTTCTCAGGAAAGAAAAACGATTCCTACATAAACAACTTGACTTCATAGTTTAAGATCTTAGAAAAGGATCAATAAAAGGAGCCCAAAAAGGTGGAAGGAAAGATATCATAAAACTTAGATCAGAAATCAGAGACATGGAAATCCAAAAAACAATCCGAAATATCAATGAAACCAAGAGCTGGTTCTTCGAGAAAATAAAGAAGATAGATAAACCACCAGCAAGACTCACAAAGAGAGAGAGAGAACTCTAATAAACCGAATCAGAAATGAGAAGGGGGATATCACAACAGAAACCAAAGAAATTCAAAAGATCATCAGAGACTACTTTGAAAGCCTGTATGCCACGAAACAAGAGAACCTAGAAGAAATGGATAAATTCCTGGGTTCCTATCATCTCCCAAGGCTGAATCAAGAAGATATAGAGTACCTGAATAGACCTATTAACATCAAGGAAATTGACACTGTAATCAAAAGCCTTCCCAAAAACAAAAGCCCAGGTGCAGGTGGATTCATTAGCAAATTTTTTCAAATATTTAAAGAGGACATTTTGCCAGTACTTCTCAAGCTTGTCCAGGAAATTGAAAAACAGAAACTTTCCCAAACAGTTTCTATGAAGCCCGTATCTAACTAATACCAAAAGAAAACAAAGACACCACAAGAAAAGAAAATACAGGTCAATATCCCTGATGAACAGGAATGCAAAGATTCTCAACAAAATACTAGCAAATAGAATTCAACAACTCATCAAAAAGATCATACACCATGACCAAGTGCAATTCATCCCAGAGATGCAAGGATTGTTTAATATTCAGAAATCAATCAACATAATCCACCATATCAATAAAAGAAAAGTTAAAAACCATATGATCATATCAATAGATGCAGAAAACTCATTTGACAAGATTCAGCACCTGTTTATGATGAAAACCCTAGCCAAAATGGGTATAGAGGGCAATTTCCACAATACACTTAAAGCTATCTACCACAAGCCTACAGTAAGCATCATCGTCAATAGGGAAATTCTGAGAGCCTAGCCTCTAATATCAGGGACAAGACAAGGATGTCCACTCTGTCTACTGCTGTTCATTATAGTACTGTAAGTACTTGCAATAGTGGTTAGGCAAAAAAAAAATATTAAGGGCATTCAGGTAGAAAAGGAAGAAATCAAGTTCTCACTATTGACAGTTGACATGATACTATATTTAGAGAACCCTAAAACCTCTACCAAGAAACTCCTAGAAACAATAGACTTGTATCGTAAAGTTTCAGGCTATAATATCAATACGCAAAAGTTTGTGGCTTTCCTATATGCAAATAGTGAGAGAGAAGAAAATGACATTAAAAAATAATCCCATTCGTAATTGTGCCCTAGAAAAACAAGTACCTAGGAATCAGCTTCACTAAGGAAGTAAAGGACCTATACAAAGAAAACTACAAAACGCTACTTCAGGAAATAAAAGAGGACATAAGAAAATGGAAAGATATCCCCTACTCATGGATCGGGAGAATTAACATAGTCAAAATGGCAATACTTCCCAAAGCATTGTACAAATTCAATGCATGCCTATAATGATACCCATGAAATTCTTCAAAGAAATGAGCGAACACTACTGAAATTTATATGGAACAATAAGCCCCCACGAATAGCTAAAGAATAGAAAAAGAAAAATGGGAGGAATCAAGCTCCCTAACTTCTAACTCTACTACACAGTAGTAATAATTAAAACAGCATGGCACTGGAACAAAGGCAGAGCTGCAGATCAGTGGAAGAGGATTGAATATACTGACATCTCCCATCAACATATGATCATCTCTTCTTTGATAAAGGAGCAAGAAATGTGAAGAGGAGCAAGGAAATCTTCCTTAACAAATTTTTCTGGCAAAACTGGATGGCTACATGCCAAAAAATGGACTCAGATCTCTGCCTAACACCATGTACGAAAGTAAGATCAAAATGGATTAAACACCTCAACATAGACCGGAATCCACAAGGTACATTGAAGACAAAGTTGGCAGAACTGTCCATGACATTGAAGCTAATGGTATCTTCACAGATGTCACTCCACTGGCCAAGCAAGTGAAGACTGAGATAGGCAAATTGGACTATTTTAAATTAAGAAGCTTCTGCACCTCAATGGAAACAGTGACCAAAATACAAATACAGTCTACCGAATGGGAAAGGATATTCGCCCAATACCCATTTGACAAGGATCAAGGATATGCAAAGTACTGGTTGAACTCCACAAGAAGAAAACATCCAACCCCATCAAAAAATGGGATGACAAAATGAAAAGAAACTTTCTCAAAGAAGAAATCCGAATGGCAAAAAGGCACATGAGAAAATGCTCTATATCATTAATCATCAGGGAGATGCAGATCAAAACTACAATGAGATATCATCTCACACCACAGAGACTGCTCCACATACAAAAGAACAAAAGCAAATTGTGCTGGCGTGGATGTGACGAGAATGGGAAACTTCTCTGCTGGTGGAATGCTGACTGGTTCAGCCCTTTTGGAAAACAGTACGGACAGTTCTCAAAAAATTAGATATTGAGCTCCCATTTGACCCGGCAATACCACTCCTGGGAATATATCCTAGAGAAGCAAAAATGTATAGTCAAAGTGACATCTGCACTTGTTTGTTTATTGCAGCACTGTTTACAATAGCCAGAATATGGAAAAAACCTGAGTGCCCAAGAACAGATGACTGCTTAAAGAAACTTTGGTACATCTACACAATGAATACTATGTAGCTGTTAGAAAAGATGAAGTCATGAAATTTACATATAAGTGATACTACATATAAATTTACATATAAATTTACATATAAGTGATTAAAGTTACCCACTCACATGGAAAGTATGCTAAGTGAAAAAAGTCAGAAAGAGAGGGACAGGTGAAATGAGTCAGAAAGAGAGGGACAGACATAGAAAGATTGCATGCATCTTGGAACATAAAGTAACAAAATAGGAGACTAACCCCCAAGAATTGTCAAGTTAAGTACCAGGAGGTTTACTCTATGGCTTGGAGGCCAGCGGCACACACTAGGGGAAAAGGCACCTCAGATAGAGAATGGAGCAACAAATAAAGGGTGTTGGGAGGATCCTCCCAGGATGGGAGATGCATGCTTAAAGGAAACTGTAGACCGAACATGATTGCCACTCAATGCCTCTTTTGCAAACCACAGCACCCAAAAGGAGAGAGAGAACAAAAGGAAAGGCCCTGCCACAGACCTGGGTTGGGATGGGGGGGATTGGAGGGGAAGGAGAGGGATACTGGGATCACTGGTGTTGGAGAATGGGCACTGGTGAAGGGATGGATACTCGATCATTGTATAATTGAAACCCAAGCACAGGAATTTGTAAGTCTACAACTGTATCTCATTGCGTTTCACTAAGAAAAAAATTTAAAAACATAATTAAATAAAGTCTACATTAGATGAAAATGTAAGAGTGATTTTTATAAATATCTTTCCTCAAATTAAGTTAACAATTTACTCCTGCAGATAATATTTTTGATTTGGATAGTTATAGACATACATCAATCTGGATTTTATTCCCTTCACACTGTTCAAACCTTTTATGTTGTTGTTGTTTCAGTACTGTGAAATGCTAGAGGCATTCTTGCAGGTAAAATCCATAGAGATTAAAGTCACCCACTCACAATCTTCTTTAGAAATTATTTTCCTACCTCAGGTCAAACTCAGTCTCTGTCACTCATTTTTTCCTCTTTATGACTCTAATAGCTAACTTCTGTTAAGTACAACTTGGCTGATGTTAGCCTAATTATCTTACCTTATTCTATATATGCAATTGATTTCTGACCATAATACTTTGATGAGTTCCAGTAAGGGTATATGCTTTTAGGTTAAGAATCTTCTATTGTGAACATTTGAATGAGGACTTCCAAACTCTATACTGATAGGGATTAAAATTAACCCTTAATATGTCATTTTAAAATAAAATAATTAAAATAGCACAAACACTGTAACACTGTTCTCCCGTTATTCATTGAATTGCTTGAGCAAGCACCAGTAAGGTCTCCATTGTGAGACTTATTGTTACTGTTTTTGGCATATTGAATACATCACAAATAGCTTCCCAGGCTTTGTCATGTGGGTGAGATACAATTGGTAGCTTGCTGGGCTCTCCTAGAGTGGCAGAGGAATCAAACTCAGATCGTCTACATGGAAGGCAAATGCCCTACTCAGTTTGCTATTGCTCCAGTAGATTACAACAGAGTGAATAAAATTCAATTAAGTATAGTTCATTCAGTATACAGTTAAATTGTATGGATGGTGATAGTGGATCAATTTTTGTGTGGTAAACTTTATTTTTTAGCACAGAATGCTTCATAAATTCACATGTCATCCTTGTGATATAAGCAGGCAAGTAGGTAGGGAAGATCTCTCCCATGCCAATGGCAATGTCAATGGATTTCCTGGGAAAAAATAAAATAAATAGCCCTGAATTGAAAAAAAAAACACTTTGCAGAAAGCAGAAACAGGTCGGATAATGTTTCACCCATTGCCAAAAACAGACCCAGAGTAGGCTGAACCCTTATGGAAAAACAAACTTCAGCAGAGACAGAGATTAACTACACTTAAGGAATTAAGGACTGAAGGAGATTCACCTAAACCTTAAAGCTGTTCCTTATGACAATACCTGATCAACTGCTCACCACTGGCAGAAAAATCAATACTAAGGTAACTCTAAGAATATGCATATAGAATGGGCCACAGGGATGTCATCAAACCCAGTGCCAGGCTGTATCATTGGGAGCAATCT